ACTCTGACCTGCTCTGGTCATCACATCTCTGAGGATGAGGAGGAATACAAGGCCCAGTAGAGTCACGGTGGATCCTGGGGTTCCAGGAGACAGTGGGGGTGGCAGCCATGCTGGTGAGGCGTGTTTCTTTCAGTCCCCCCATCCCAATGCTCCTATTTAGTGACCCCCAGATACACAATATCCGGGTGGGGGGATAGGTCTAGTCCCATCGACGTTAATCACTCAAACATGCTATGGGGATTTGAACTCTGGAGGGTGCCTCCCATTTCCGGACTTTCTCAACTCATTGTGGTGCCAGCCTGGGACTTCACCCAGAGCCCGGCCCACCCTGGAGCCTTAGCCCAGCTCTTTTCCCTCCTTCAGTCCCGTCTGTTGGTCTCCTGCTTTGTTGACTTTTGCAGTTTGTCTAACGGGCTACATTGGCCTTTTGTCACCTTGGACGCGCTGGACTGTGCCATTGGGGCCAGCGCTGACGGGCGGGGGACAGTGTCCCCTACTGAGCACAGTGACCCCTAGCACCACACTGGGGCATTGGGGCCAGCACAGACTGTGAGGGGAAAGCGCCCTTACTGTAAATCCCACCCCACTCCCTGCAGCACAGCATTGCCCGTCGAGCTCCCTGTCCCACTCCTGGGAGCGCGGCGCCCCCAATGCACCCTCATCCCACTCCCTGCAGCACGCTGCCCCCTACCGAGCCCCCACCCTACTCCCTGCAGCACAGCACCCCCTACCAAACCCCCACCCCACTCCTTGCAGAACGGTGCCCCCTACTGAGTCCCCTGCCACCCTCACTGCAGCACAGTGCCCCCTACTGAGCCTCCCAGCTCCCTGCAACGCAGCGCTGCCTGCGAAGCCCCGTTCTTATCCATGCAGCGTGGGGCTCTCTGCTGAACCTAAATAACGCTCTCCCTGCATGAGCCCCTGTCCCATCCCTGCAGCACGGCAGCCTGTAATGATAGTTGTAGCCACCACAGCTGAGATTTCTCTCCCTGGCCCTGTTAGTAACTACACACTGTGAACTTTTCACAGCACGACCATTAACCCTAAAGGATAAAATGATGTCACAGAGCTCACGGATTCCAGGACTTTCAGAGACCTCCGGGACATTTTCCGCTTTAGCCCTGGGTCGGGTGGAGGCCGGATCTGTCAGCCGGTCGGGGCCCCGGAGCTCTGAGCTGCTGCAGGTGGTGTGTGTGTGTGTGTGGGGAGGGACGACCCGAAGGAGCCTGGGCAGTGACGTAGGGCCCTGAGGCACCGCGGGCCCTGGAGCTGTCAGCCGTCATGGTGCAAGTGCTAGACTCCCCCTCCCCCTGCCCACAGCGAGGCTCGGGCTCTCTTTCCTC